CCTTTATGTAATTTTTTATTTTTGACCTGGTTCAGGATTGAAGCAAGGATCATGTAGTTTTTATATATCTTTAGATTTCTTTAATGTACAGCAAATAGGCTTTCTTTGTCTTTTTCTACCTTGACATCTTTGAAAATTATAGGCCTTTATTTTGCAGAATATCTCTTAACTTGTCTTTGTTGAGTTCTCATAATTAGATGCAGTTTATGCATTTACAAAATCCTACTGAAATTTTGATTGGGATTATGTTGCAATTATAGATAAATTTGGGAAGAATTGAGTTCTTAACAATATCGAGTTTTATGATCCATAAATTTGATATATGTCTCCATTTATTTAAGGTCTCTTTTCCTATCAACATTTTATAGTTGTCATTGCAAAGGCCAAGCATTTATTTTGTTAAATTTATCCCTAGAATTTCATGTTTTGGAATGCTATTTTACAGGATTTTTTTTTAAATTTCAGATTCCGTTTGTTTATTTCTAGCATATGGAAATGTAATTGATTTTTATATATTGATGGTAATATAATCCTACTAAACTTACTTGTTAGTGCAAGCACCTCTTTCTAGATTTTGTAGAATTATAGATGAACACATTAAGCACATTTATGATAGCTGCTTTAACTTCTTTGTCTCATAATTCCGTCTCCTCTATTGTATCTCTATTTCCTTCTATTGACTCATTTTTCTCCTGGTTGTAGATTACCTTTTCCTGCTTCTTCACATGCTAGTAATTTTTAATTTGATGCTCGACATTGTGAATTCTCTGTTGCTGAGTGCTGAAGTTTGGTATATCCCTTTAAAAAGCATTGAACTTCATTCTGGAAGGCATTTCAGTTGCTGACAGTTCTGTTAGGTTCCTTTGAGGCTTATTTTTAAGCTTTTCTTTTAAAGACAGGTTTAGGACAGAAATCAGCAAATTTTTTCTGCAATTTGTTTTTTAACTTAGGGGAAACTTTATTTAGTCTTCTTTTCAAAGCAATCTAGTTTAAAAACAAGTTGAGATTAAGAGAAGAATATATTCAGAGAGTGAATATGTTCAGCTTTGCAGGCCATATAGTCCTGATTGCAACTACAGAACGGCCATTTTCATGTGAAAGTAACCACAGGTAATATATAAATAAGTGGGCATGGCTAACTTCCAATAAAACATTATTTACTTAAACAGGTAGTAGGCCAGATTTGGTCTTGAGACTGTAGTTTGCCAATCCATGGTCTAGAGTCTACTTCCTTCTAGAGTTGCTTCGCCCCATTACTAAAGTATACTCTTTCTGGAATTCCTACTGAATGCTCTGTTTATTCATCAAGAACTCTGTACTCTGGCTGATAGAAACTCAAAGACATCTGGCCCTCTAGGAACTTTGGCAATTTTTCACCTTATTGCTCCTGGTTATTGTTTTCTTAGAAGTTCTTCTCTGTCTCTCTTTGTATATTTTACCCTAAAAATGTGAAAATTAGAATTCAGCCAAAGCCTTAAGCATATTACTGGATCTCTTTCTCTGCATAGCTCCCTTTCGTCCACCACCTTGCCTTGCAAATTCTCGCTGTCTCAGACTCTGTCTCCTCAACTCAATGTAACCTTGCTTTCTGCTGGGCTGACGCTTTTGGAGCTACAGTCCAGAAAGTTCCTCCAAGCAGAAATCTGGGGTGATTATAGGATGTGCCTTTTTTCCCTTTCTCTACAGGATCACGGTCATGTACTTCCTGTTCAATATCTTAAAACCTTGTTTTATATATTTTGCCCATATTTCTAGTTGTTTATGGCTGAAGGATAATTTCGTGCTTTCTTACTCTTTCTTACTGTGTATACGCTAGGAGCAAAAGTCCTCTCAGTATTTTCTCTGAGTAACTAGAATTATCTGGTTGCCATTAACACAAATGAGGAAGGGGCTGGCCCCGTGGCTGAGTGGTTGAGTTTGCGCTCTGCTGCAGGTGGCCCAGTGTTTCGTTGGTTCAAATCCTGGGCACGGACATAGCACGGCTCATCAAACCAGGCTGAGGCAGCATCCCACATGCCACAACTAGAAGGACCCACAACGAAGAATATACAACTATGTACTGGGGGGCTTTGGGGAGAAAAAGGAAAAAAATAAAATCTTTAAAAAAAAAACACAGAGAGGAAGACTGTTCAATGGGAAAGTTTGGAGGGAAAGAATCAGAGTTTGGATTTAAGGATGTTAAGTTTCAGATATCTCTTAAGATTTGCATTGGAGGTTTTTAACTTTTATAATTTGTTCTTTTTTTTTACAAAACTAAACCTCCCACAAAGAGGGTCTCTGCCTAATTTAAACTATTTTTTCTGTAAAAATCGAAGTTACACAATTTCGCAAGAGCTTTAATAGCAAGATCACTTAAACGTACACATCCTACTCTTAGGTAGCTGATTTGTTTGGACGAAACAACAGGCATGGAAAATAATTTGGAAATAGGTAAATGACATTAGTTGATAATTTCCCTTGATATTTATCAAAAGATGCTGTTGTGTGTTATTTTATAGATAGAATGCATTATAGCAGTGTAATTTTCTTTATTGATGCTTTCTCTTCAAAATTAATCTCGTGTAATATTATTGTATTTTTAAATTATGCAGCTATGTATGTTTTAACAATGCGAAACTTAGTTACTATGATTATTCTAAAATATTAGCTATATTGATTGGGTAATATATTAGCATCTATATTGTGTTTCAATTTAGAAACATGTCCAAATTATTTTCTTGTTTGTTTTAAAGGAATCAGATTTTAGCTTGATTTAGTCACTTTGGAGAAAAGCATCTTAAGAATCAGGTTTTTTTTTTTTACTCCCCAAACAAATTGAAATTAACACTATCAACACAAATGTCAACTTATATAAAATTAAATGACCCAGTGATTTCTCAGGTTCTCAATAGTCCCATGAGAAATAATGTATCTGATACTCAACACCACCATTTCTGTAGCTGGCGGTCTTGTCTCGTGATAGATGACCTGATATCACTGCTTTTCTTTTCAAGCCAATGGATTTAAGACATAATTCTGGGGGCCAGCCCTGTGGGTGAGTGGTTAAGTTCATGCACTCCGCTTCGGTGGCCCAGGTTCACGGGTTTCAGATCCCAGGCACAGACGTACACCACTTGTCAAGTCATGCTGTGGTGATGGCTTACATACAAAAGAGAGGAAGACTGGCACAGATGTTAGTTTAGGGCTAATCTTCCTCAGCAAGAAAAATAATAATAATTCTGTAGACAACAGACCTGAGTCCAAACTGCATCTCTGCTCTTAAAAAATAAGCAAGTCATTTAATATCTCTAATCTTCAGTTTTCTCTTCTATCAGTAAGAGGGTTACTATAAGTGATCTCCATTTTTGTGTGCTCAAAAGTGCTTTAATGTTATGATTCTAAGTCAAACTCTGTAATTGAAACATTAAAGGTCTCTTGTCTTACCCCCAATCTACTAAAACTGAACTGGGCACCTAAATAAAATTAGTTTGATCTCAAACTGCAAGAAAGGAAAATGTTAGCAATTAACCCAGACAAGAAAGTTTTGTTATAGGCAGAATGCACGGCTGAAACTTATTTTCAAAGGCTTTGCAAGTATAAAAGCCATTTAATCAGGCAATCTTGAACAAGCAGTCCAGGAACGGTTTAGCACACAAAATGGCTTGGAGCCTTCAGAACACCAGTCTTATCCCCATTGGTTTCTACATGGCATTCCATTCATCTCTTCCTGTTTCTTCTCTCTTAACCATCTATTTTCTAAGTTGTGAGAGTGATGCAAGACATAAAAGCCTCTATATGAAATTTTAGCAGCAGGACTTTCTAGGTCCCAGAACATCTTCCAATAAATCCCTGAATCACCTGCTACCCCAAATCCTCACCAATCATCAACCACCAGACAATTTTCCTTAGGCCATGGAAGCTGGATCTAGAAATGAAGTAGGGAGTGGTATTATCAGCTCCTGACCTGGTAGATGGGGAAAATGGGAAGAAAGAAAATTTCTGGTACTGTAGTGTCACAGAGCAAGGGTGGAGCTGATGTCCCAAGTTGGATCTCGGAACAACTTTTCCTACTGTAATGTGGTTACCCATGGTGTGTATGTTGTATTGTAATATTGGAGCAAGATAATAATAATACTTTGGATGTGCATATTGAACTGCTTTATCATTTCCAAAGAACTTTATTTCCCTCATTCACTTATTTGACTAATATTTATTAATCACCTATTAAGGGCCAGGCACTGTTCTAGGCTCTGGTGATAGAAACAATAGTGTCTTTAATTAGCTTAAGTTGTCTAGGTTTCACTATTGTTTTTTCTCTTTCTAAGTAGGGAAACTAAAGCTCATCCAGTGTAGGTTTCATCCAAGTCACCTAACTGATAAGTATCAGCATCAGAGTTCAAACTCAGGTCTTCAAAAGTATTGCTGTTTGTTTTAAGCTTGTGAAAAAATCTTTATGATTGACATTGCCTTGTAGAGAAATTGCTTCTATAATTCCAAACGATTGACAAATAAATATGCATTTTGGAGGAAAATCTGTTGGGAAGTTGGATATTGCTTATATATTCATCCCCCTGCTTCTGAGGAGGTATCATAGATATGTTTGGCTTCTGATAAATACTGGAGTGCATGGATGCTAATGGAGTATACTTCCAAATGCCCCATAATACATAAGCTCTTAGTACCCTAAAGATTTTGTTTCAGGATGAAAAATAGAAAGCCTCAGATCTAATTTATATCCTTGAACATAGCTTATAAGAAATGCTATATTTGAAGAGACTTAGGGTTCTCTCTTAGATCAATAAAGTGATACTTCATTTTTTTTTCATTTGAATGATCCTTGTGAGTGATCTACAGGCCAGAACTCTAGAGGGTATTAGGAGAGAGAGAGAGGGATTCAGAATCTCAAAAATGCCATTCTTCTTCCTAGTACATTCGAGTGAATTGCCTCTCACTGCCTTTTAACCTCACTAATGAGTTAATAGTGTTCCCTCATCCTTTTTTGTTCGTTTTCTGTTTTTTAGCTTACTGCCCGCATGGCTATCGGGAATGTCAGAATGGCAAATGTTATAAACAGGAGCAAAGCTGTAATTTTGTGGATGACTGTGGAGATTACACTGATGAAAACGAATGTGGTGGCTCCTGCACATTTGAGAAAGGCTGGTGTGGCTGGCAAAACTCCCTGGCTGAAAACTTTGATTGGGTTTTGGGGGTTGGCTCGCATCAAAGCCTAAGACCTCCCAGAGACCACACACTTGGAAATGAAAATGGTAGGTTATTAGGCTGTTACAGTTGCTCTAATCATATTCACAGTGAGTATCACGTCGTCTTCCCTGACAGCAACTGGAGAGCTCCGGAGAGCCCACCGTGATGCCACAGCAAGTAAATCAGACATTTAATGAGTATATTTGTCTTCTGGAACTGCAGTAACAAAGTGCCCCAGACTGAGGGGCTTAAACAGTAGGCATTTATTGTCTCTCAGTTTTGGAGGCTGGAAGTCTAAAATCAGTGGGTCGGCAGGACTGGTTCCTTTTGAGAGCTGCGTGGGAGAATCATCTATCCTACACCCCTCTCCTGGCTTCGGGTAGCCCCAGATATTCCTTGGCTTGTAGATGGCATTCTGTTCGTGTCTTTACATTGTCTTCCCTCTAGGCTTGTCCGTTTCTGTGTCCAAATTTCCCCCTTTTATTAGGTCATATTGGATTAGGGTCCACCTCTAGTGACCTCATCTTAACTTGATCCTTTGCAAACACCAGTTTCCAAATAAGGTCACATTTACAGGGACTGGGGTTAGAACTTCAGCATCTTTGGGGGGACACAATTCAACCCATAAAAGTGAAGAATCAAAGTCTAATATTCCTTCGATAAGTGTAGATAGATAATGTGTGTTGCCATCAGGTACCTTTCCTAAATCACACACCCTTGCAATCAATAACCCTGAATTCTGCCACCTGTTTGATCATTTGCAAGTTATTTAACGTTTCAGATTCTTGATTTTCTCATCTGTCCAATGGAGATAACAAAATTTGCCCTGTATACTAAACAGGGATTGTAGAGACCAAATGAGATCATGGGTATGAAGGGCCAGCAGTTTGAAACCTGTAGGGGTGCTGTGCAGACGTAACCATAAGATCACGTGTGTTAAAGGTGGTGGCATGGCTCATTTTTGCAGTAAGTAGCTGAAGTCAAGTCTCAGACTCATTGGTCAAGGAACAAAGCACATTGGCAGAAAAAAAGGAGAGATCTTGAATTCTTGGATGCTACAGAATAGGAAAAGGGTGTCTAAATATTGAAATTCCACAGACCTATGGAAAAGCAAAGCTCTCCAAGACAGGCTGACCATGCCAGAGAAAGGAAAATCTATGTCCCATTCAAATATTCAGCTCTACATACAGAAAGTGTTTTGGATATTTGGATGCACAAATATGAAACCCAATCTTTCCCCTCATGTTGCATGTTAAAATTCTCAATAGTTTATTTACGCACTCGACAGGTGACTGAACCTTGAATACTCGTCATATTCTCTTATTTGCATTTCATAGGTAATCTTTGCATTGTTTTACAATAACTAGATACTTTGGGGAGTCCATTAGATGATTTCTATAACTACCTTGTTGATGGCATCAATATCGTGACAGATTAGTTTATCTGCATACTGTGAAGTACTTTCCTGAAAACACGGACAGTTGGAAATTTTTCTGTCAGTGCACTAGTGCAAGGCTATTAGATTGCTTTTCTGTTTCAAATGGAAATGCCTTTGGCAGCTCAGGTCATATGAAATGTAATTAAGAACCTAACCGATGGAAAAGCTAAAATAATTCCCTCTTTGTTCTTTCTGTCCTTTCTGAATCCCATCCTTGTTCCTAGGGCACTTCTTGTATCTGGAAGCTACTCCAGTGGGGCTCCGGGGTGAAGAAGCACACCTCAAGAGTGCTGTGTGGCAAGAATCCAGCGCTGCCTGCACCTTGAGCTTCTGGTATTTCATATCTACAAAAGCCACAGGGTCCATTCAGATTCTTATTAAGGTAAGGTCTTCGCCTATGATGCCTTGGAGCTTAGTGAAGCTTCCTACAGGCAGCCCATAGCCAAAGGGAATTCATTACAACTCTGCTAAGTGGGCCAGAGGGAGCCTCCTGTCATCAGAGGGAGCTGCTGCTTGTGGTTCAGATGCTCTTTGGGGTTTGGTAAGTGGAGCCTGGATCCAGCTCTGAGCTCAACATCACATCCTGTGGTTGTAACAGAATCCCAGAAACTCCTTTTATGATAACAATTAGACTAAGACATGTACATTTCTTCTTTCTATTTAGGTATTTCCTTCCCTATCCTTCTCAGGAAAAAAAAAAAAAAAAGATTATTCGTACATCTGAAACGAGAGCGACTATCCATTTGAACTCATATATGAGCAATCGTTAAGGGAACTAATATCTGACATTCTGGTTCTAAGCACACTGTGCAAGGGACTGAACTGCTCAGGAGAGTGATCAAGTTGTGATTACATTGAAATACTTATTAACTGTGACATGGTAATGCATTTTCTTAGTGAGGATTAATTGGAGGTTTCTGTCAGGGCTTTAATTTAGTTGAACAAAGTGACAATGTTCGGGGAGTAAAATAACAAAATCTGTATTAATATTAATGAGACTTGGTTCATATACCTTTCCTCTTTGACAAGTTAAAACAGCAGCAAAAAGGAGATGAGTGTGGGCTGTGTGTGCGTGTATGTGTGCATTCATTTCAAGAATCGAGCTAGAATTCTAAGAAAGCTTACTTTAAAAACATGCTGTGGAGGCCACTGCTGTTTTATCACACAGGAGCTTGGTGAGGTGCCCTAGCACTGGCGGAGGATGCCTGACCAGAATACTAGACGGTTCCTATGTCTGGAAGTGCTAAGAGCTGCCTAGGCTATGTTTTATCTGAAACCGCGGTTAACTTTATAATTTAGGATTCCTATAATAATGCAGAAAAAGCCTACTTAATAAAATACATGCAGCAAATGCCACAGTGATTTATTCTTATATTTTGTTACTGAAACCAAAGTGGGTTCTCTCCTGGTGAGTTAAATCAGACTCTCCACCAGAAGTAGTTGTCTCACCAAGTAAAGTGTATGTACAGCGAATAGGAGACCATGAGGCATCATTTCCAGAGTCACGGTGTCCCCAAAAAGGGAAGCAGGGATTTTTATTTTGGATGGGGTATGAATATTCGAAAGGGAGAGAGGACTATTGGCTTGCTCCGGCTCAGGTGGAAAACATGCTTCCACCCACACTGCAGGTGATGGTAGTAAGACCTAAGCTCCTCTGGAGAGATCTTGGGGTAAAAATAAGGCAAAGGTCACAGGCATAGCTCTCATGGTGAGGCTTGCTCTGGCTCAGGATGGTTGGTGATTGCATCTCCTTAACATAACAAAAGGAAAAAGAACAATTTGGAAAAACAATGAAAATATCCAAATCCATGTTTGAGTTCCTCAGAGTAACTAGTCTGTGACAATTTAAATATGGAAACTTACTGAAATATAATGCTTAAAGTTCTCACAGGAGTATTTCGCTAATACTTGATTGAATGCGATCCTTGATTATACGGTCAGTACCAGGTGAAGGGTTTGGTATTATTCTGTGGATGTCGCTTTTATTATTTGTTTCATTCATATTTACATTTCACCTCTCTTATAGTAACAAACTTTATATTACTATAAAATGTAAAGTTAAATTATTTTGAGATGTCAGTCTTCCTACCAAGTCATGTTGAATTCCTTTGGTTCCTCCAGTTAATTCCTATGGGCATTTAGTAGCATTTTTAAAAACCTGTCATCCTACCATATTTTTTTTTTTAAAACCCACATTTTAAGAGTACATGCCTATTCTTATTTAGTGACTTTTATTGTGAAGGAGAGAAATCTTTCATAACATATATCGATTTGATATTCATAAATTTTAGGACAATCATTTTATTTTGGTAATTAATATGATACATATTTTTGATCATGATTACAAAGTACTTGTTAGGCTTCTCTCTGTGTGGAACCATGCTGGAGTTTACCCTGCTCATTTGTTTGAAAGGCTCCAAGCCAGATGGCAAACACAATAGGAAAAGGGATTATGTCTTCTGTTTCTTTCTTTCTTTTCTCCTCATCTTTTAAAACGGTCCCAGTTTACGCATGTGTTGCCCCTGGCTCAGTCTCGCCTGCCTGTTCTCAGGAACGCCTCCTTGTGTGTTTCCCTCATGTCCCTCTGTACTGAATCCCACGCAATCTGGTAGATTCAGCCTTTCACAAAACTTTCCTTGACCACTTTTGCCCACCATGATTGTTCCTTCTCTGAGTGTCCCTCCCAGCTCCAGAGCTTTTCAGAGAAGGGACTCTTGGATGAAAGGACTGCAGGAAAGGAGAGGTGCCCTCCCAGAGGCCCCTGCCAGGCTCAGGACAACCCTTGTTTGGGACAGTCCCTGTGAAGGAACAGCTGTTATGCATTACATGCATAACGTTGGACTAGTCTGGAGACTTTGTAATCTAAATCTGAAATATATACATGAAATCAGATGCAAAAGCCGTGCAACCATTGAACAATAGTTTAATGACAATGTAGTTTCAAAGGGTGGTATTGATTGTAGATCACAAACACAATAATACATACTAAGAAATACCATTTATTGAACACCAACTGTATAGCATTTATTGAACATCAACACTTATACTATTTCCTGTAATTCCTAGCCCAACCCTCTGAGTAAAATGCTGTGGGTCCCATTTTACTAAAGGTGAGGTAAGGGAGTCTCATGGAAATAACCTAACCAGCCTATGGCTACACAGCCAGTCAGTGACAGACTGGGAATTTGAATCCAGATATGTTTACATCCAAAACTCACATATTTACTCCCTAGCGCCATCCCTAAGTGTTCCTCACTGATAAAGATGAATGTTCCACTCTAATAATGAAATGAAGATTCTATTTTACTGGAATCTGTATATATTGCATGGAATCATTTTCTTTTTTAGGAAAACAAAATGAATAATAGTTCTTAGAATGGATTTGAGTGATTCTTATGTTTTTTCTTTTAATTATTTTATTGAGGTCACACTGGATTATAGCATTGTGTAAATTTCAGGTGTACATCATTATATTTGGCTTCTATATAGACTACGTTCTGTTCACCACCAAATGTCTAGTTACCATCCATTACCTTACATATGTGCCCATTTATCCCTTCTGCCCTCCCTTACCCCTTTCCCCTCTGGTAATATGATTCTTAAACTGCTCTGGTAATAAAAGAATGAATTCGGGGAAACCCCAACAAAACAAAGCTATTGCTTTAGGAAACATTTAGTAAAGAGCAGTACTGTTTTACATATTGTATATATTGTACTTTTCTTCTCTATTTCTTGCTTTCAGTCACATGAGAACTACTTTTCACTGAAGAGATGTAATTGAAACACATGTAATCTCTGTGTCTTAAATCAAAGTAATGGGTGAATTACGAGAAGACGGAAAAAATATCTTGAGAAATTAATGTTAATTTTTTTCTTTCCTTTGAAGTTTCCTTTATTTAGAAATGTAAACACAATAAAATGAAGTAGCTAAACTTTTTAGGAGAATAACAACTTTTAAAAATAGAGCTAGTTCTTTTATAAGTTTGTAAAGTTTACCAAGTAGAAGGATGCTACCCCTCACTGCTTGGACCAAGCCAAAGTCATCAGTAAGTGGATGAACTCGTACTTGAACTCAGATATTATAAAAATTAGGAGTAGAATGTTGCACAATCTGTTTGGTTTCCGTCTTTCTATAGAGGAAGATTGGATGTTGATAATCTAAAATACATGGGCCGTGTCTTTTTCCAAATTTACTAATAATTCATTGTTAAAATTGCATAGTTATTCTTGATAACATTTATCATTTTGACCTACCTTTTAACCATTTACATTCGATATTAAATTTCTTATTAAATTTAAATCTATTGCTTTTCAGACAGTCTAAGATTTAAAACAAAAAATGAAAAAAGTGTTTAAGGGTAGAATAAATGTTCTACAACATAAAAGCTAACTTGTTTTTACAAATATATTTAATCTTATTTATTTTTCTAGTCACTTGTTTTCTGATGGGGTTAATTAGTGATGAGTAATACATAGATTTTAATACACTAAAAATGATTTGGGGGAATTTTTAAATTTACTTGCTTTTGACAGTTTTCATAGGTAAAATTCTATCTAGCCTCATCAAGAAACAAAAAACCTTTTCATCTTTTCAGCTAGCCATTTGAATAAAATGCAGGAACACCTGCTACCTGAAGAGCATGATTGTGTTTTGGAGCTAGTCCATCTGCAATAAATTGTTGATATTTTCATCAAGATGACTTTATGCTATAGGGAATTTGAGTCTGCTTGACTGAAGGCATTTAGGACGATCCATTATACCATATTGATAGAACACATAATGTATTCAAGGCAGAAGTGGAGAAAAATAATTTATTTCAGGAGAGCCCTCCTGATTATAGCAACCTAGTTATGCTGAAAGACCGTAATTAAATTAGTTCATTGCTTTATCTTGCTTAGTGATTCAGAGAATTTTAGAGCTGGTGGGGTCCTTCAAAATATGTTTAATCTAAGCCATTCATTTCACAGATGAAGGAACTAAGATTATGAGGTTATATTTCTTGCCCCAGCTCACATAGTATTTTAAGAAAAAAGTTAGGCTATGAATCCAATTCTTCTGACTTCTAATTTAGCACTCTTATACTTGACTTCCTGGAAATTCTATCTAAAGATCATATTCAACATGGAAATACAGATTTTGTTCAATAGGCAGTGAAAAATGTCAAATCAACAAGTGAAAGGCCAAATTCCTTTGCCTTCTTAGAAGACTGGCTGTTCTGGGTCTGCTTTTACCCTCAATCTAGTGAACAATGAGGCTCAGTTGTGTGGAAGGGTCAACTGACAAAAGTGAGCATTCTCCATCCTTCCCAACCCACCACCACCCATCCCCCACACACTCTCTCACCATAGTCCTAAGCGGAGAAGATTTACAACTAATTGCTA